CTCTTTGATCCGCACACTCCCTGAAATATGCAGCTGGGGTCACGAGAGTTGTTTGTACAGCCCGGGGTTAGTCACTGCTGTGGACTGATTGTGTTTCCCCAAAATTAGGATTTGAAGCCCTCACCCTCCATGTGACTGTATCTGGAAAAAGGGCGTTTATGCAGGTAACTAAGGTTAAACGAGGTCATAAGGCTAGGGCCCTACTCCAGTAGGCCTGTGGCCTTATACGAAGAGAAAATGAGAGAGAGAGAAGTCTCCCTCTCTCTCTGCCACTCTCTGCCATGTGAGGACACAGCAAGAAGGCTGCTGCCTGTAAGCCAGGAAGGGAGTCTTCACCAGAACTGGACCATGCTGACTTCCAGATCTTAGACTTCTCGCCTCCAGAAATGTGATGAAGAAAACGTCTGTTGTTTAAGCCCCCCAGTCAGTGACATTTTGTTGCATCCAGAGCAGACTAACACAGTTGCCCATATCAATAGAGGACAGAGGGAAGGACTGAATCAAACTCATTTTATAGGCACTGATGGGAGCAGAAGAACAGGCTTGAACCACCAACTATCTACCTCTTACCTGCTTCTCATCCTAGTTCTGAGGCTTGATTCACTAGCTCACACAGCTCTCACCTTAAGAACTTTAACAGTTAGTGTCCAAAATATACAAACTGTGCATACAACTCAATATCAAAAAAAAAAAAACACCAAGAAATGGGCAGAAGACTTAAGTAGACATTTCTCCAAAGCAGACATACAGATGGCCAACAGGCACATGAAAGGTATTCAATACCACTAATTATCAGAGAAAGGCAAATCAAAACCACAATGAGGTACCACCTCACACTGGTCATAATGGCTATCATCAAAAAGTCTACAAATAATAAATGCTAGAGAGGGTGTGGAGAAAAGGGAACCTTTGTACACTGTTGGTGGGAATGTAAATTGGTGCAGCCACTATGGAAAACAATATGGAGGTTCTTTAAAAAACTAAAAATAAAGCTACCGTATGATCTGGCAATCTTACTCCTGTGCAGATATCTGGAAAAGATGAAAATTCTAATTCAAAAAGATATAGGTACCCCACTGTTATAGCACTGCTGTTTATATTAGCCAAGAAATGGAAGCAACCCAAGTGCCCATCAACAGATGGTTCAAGAAGATATATACATATACAATGGAATATTGCTCAGCCATAAAAAAGGGTGAAATATTGCCATTTGCAGCGATATGGATGGACCTAGAGAATATCATCCTAAGTGGAGTAAGTCAGAAAGAGAAAGACAAATGTTAAGTGATAAGATATCACTTATACATAGAATCTACAAATTAATACAAATGAATCTATATATAAAACAGAAACAGACTCACAGACATGGAAAACAAGCTGGTTACCAAAGCGGAAAGGGAGGGGGGAGGGATAAATTTAGGAGTATGAGATTAACAGATACAAACTATAATATGTAAAATAGATAAGCAACAAGGATTTACTGTAGAGCACAGGGAACTGTATTCAATGTCTTATAATAACCTATAATGGGAAAGAATCTAATATATATATAAATATATATAACTGAATCACTTTGCTGTGCACCTGAATCTAACACAATATTATAAATCAACTATATTTCAATTTAAAAAAAATAACTTGATATCAACTCTTTTTGCCATTTTTCTAGCTCCTGTGCCATTTTTCTCACTAGACCCAAGAGATACCCCAGCAGCAAGACTGGTTTTTATCCTGAATATCAGGTAGACCTTCTATCTTTCTTTCTTTATCAAGAGAGCAGAGTCTTCTCCTGCCTTTGTTTTTTTTTTGCAAAGTGAGGCAAGTAGGACATAGAAGAAAAGAAATAAACCAAAGAGCCCTCCCCAAAGTGACAGGTGGGAAAATTGTTTGGCCTTTTCTGCTGCACACACAAGCAAGATGTCAAATTCTGTAAACCCTTCCTGCCTGAGAAAGTGAGTCTACAGGCTGTTCCCTGGGAAAGCCATTAGCAATTTGGAGAGCAAGAAGGTGAGCCCAGTAGGTGTGAGGTCTGTGCAGGTGGAGGCTGCCTTTCCAGCCTGTCTTCTGTTTTCCACATCAAGATTCTCCTTCTTCGCAAAGCGGCAGACCACCTCCTCCAGCAGCGGACACCCAGACCTGCCGCCTGTCCCCCAGAGCCTTCTCCTTCCTTTCTGGGCTCTCAGAGCAGTAGCTGAGCTGAGGGCATGGGTCTGATGTCCCACCCCTGGCCCTCACCCCTGCAGGCCCCTCTGAGCCTGGCCTGTCATTCATAAGAGCAGGTCCTCCTCTTAGAGGGTGTGGGGCTTCTGCACCATCCTTTCATGGCCAAAATGATAAGAATGTTAATTATACTGATAACCACTGTTGACTGACTGCTTTCTGCTTACCAGTCACAGTGCTAAGTATTCGACAAGCATGGTTTTGTCTGAGTCTTCCAACAACTCTATAACATGCATTTTAATGGCATCTCCATTTCACAAAGGAGGGAAGTGAGTCTTAGAAGGGGGATTCCTAAAGTCAGCTGGTGCACTGCCCAGTGGTGGGCAGTGAGGGCCCTGCAGATGAGCCTGGGAACTGATCCCCAATTATAAGGCCCTTTTGCAAGATTCTGATAGAGAAGTCAAGCCAAACTGTTCAGACTCATTTTTACCTGCAGTTAAGAGCTGCTTAATAACAGTCTCATGATTGTAGGTGGGTGGCTTGGCAGTGTTGTATTGACTCCACTATCCCTAAGGATGTGTACAGATGGTGGATCCATGGTTTTCACAACTCTCCCTTATCAGGTGTCATTGCCGTTGTCTTCAATTGGCAGCCAACTTCTGTTAACATTTTCTTGTTCTTGAGCGATACCTTACTGTTATTTCAGCTTTATCACTATTTATGTAGTTTGTTGTAGGTTCTCCTCTTAACCCTACAGGGAGTGGTGAGGTGCACTGACGTATTTTCACCTGTTATTTTCCAAGAGCCAGATTGAAGAAATGTATATATCATTACTGGGCTAAACCAAAGGAAATTGCTCATATTCAATCACTTTTACCTTAGGTTAAACCATATGATACTGACTATATTCAACCATTTTTGACCTATAGAAATGGCAGTTTCATATGGTCCAACCTAATAGTTCAAATATAAATTATTCTTATCTCTTTCGCTAGATAATTGTATGCATCTTTCCCTCCAAATATGTGTGTACAGTGATACTTATTGGTGCTATTTTGCCGATGAATTTGTGTTATCTAAATAATTTGCAACATACTCCTATTATATGTTAACCGTAAGAAAATTATAAGTTATTTTTTAAGTTTGCATATTTTTTCTGTGATCCAAGATCCTGATTGTAAGCTCATATTCTTTCTTTATGAGTTGTTCTTTCATGTTCCTCTCCAGTTCTTTATCATTACCTGATTCCTTTTTCGCTGTGAAGTGGTTATGGATAGGACATATGGACCTTCCGGTCTTTTGTGTCACCTTTATAGACCCTGGTCAAAGAAGATTGAAAAGCACGACTTTATGGGCTAAAGAGGTTTTTCAAGTCCCACAGCTAGTAAGTGTGGATTAGGATTCAGATCCAAGCCAGCTTGCCTTGCAGATGGAGGATGTGATGCATATTTTGGTAAATGGCATCAGTTACACCCCTGTGGCTTCCTGGACAAGAAAACCCAGGCTACCTTGACTGCTCTTTAGAGAAATTAGGACGCCAACATTTCCTGAGTGGCTGCTGTTTGCCAGTCACTCTGTTCAGTCTGTTAGGTCCAATGTCATTTAATACAGCAATAAACCCTCTGAGATTGGTATCGTTAATCCATACAGGTGGAGAGATAGGCTCACAGGCTTGAATACTAACGCACTATTGCAGAACCGGTAGGTAGGTGGCGAGAGCAGAGAGCAAACTTCAAAGCTCATTTGATTGTTCACTGCGCTGCCTCTTCTTCCTCCCCCACATCCTCAACCTCCCGCCCCTATATTCATCATCAGATCTTATGGGTTCTACCTAAAAAATGACTCTGGAATCTGTCTCTCCACCATCTTCACTACCACTGCTCTAACACTGTCTCTCCCGTGGACAAATATGCAGCAGCCTCCGAGCCTCTGCCCCGTCTCAGACCCTCCCCATCCCGCTGTATGGCCTCCAACTTGCTCCACGATCCCATACACAGATCTGACCATAAGCCACCTCTTCAGTGGCCCTGCAGTGCTTGCAGGGCATAAAACGAAAGCAGTCCAGTTTTCCAGCCTACCTTCCTGGCCTTGTCTGCCAAAACTCTCTACTCCCAACCCTCACTCCACTGCCTCTCCAGCCCCTCCCACCCCCTCTAACACCCATGACTTCTCCAATCCAGTTCCTGGTCCTCCATGTAGTTGCTACTCAGGGCACCTGAAAGGACTTTTTTTTTTTTTTCTTAACCTACCTGCCAGTTCTCCACCTGGCAAATTCTTCTTCCCTCAAGGCCAATTCCAACGTCAGTGCTTGTGGGAGAACCACCCCAGACTCTCCTTGGCAGTTCCTAGCTTCTCCTCTTTATATCCATCCACAGGACTCTGTACACATTTTTAATTAGACAGTTGCTGTTGAATGAGAGCTTGTTGTTGAAATGTCTAATCTATTTTTCCCACTTGATAATGAGCCCCCAGGGTATAAAGATCGTGTCGTATTTATCTTTGGATTGCTGGCATTCAGAAAAGTGCTTGGTGTAAAGTCAGCATTCAATAAATGTTCATTCATGTATGAATAGTCTCTCACGCACGTAAGAGCATCCTGAGAAGCTGTTCAGTACAGCAGACTGAAAACTGAACTAGAAGGAAGGATGCTTGGATAGTAGTCCAGGCTCACCTACCAACTGGCTGTGTTACCAGGGATAGCACTGATCTGGGTCTCCGTCTCCTCACTTGTAAAAGTGGGGGACATCTGAGTGCCTTTCAAGGGTTCACATCTAATGATGCAAAGGACTTGACGGTTTACCCCTAAAAATATCTTTTTTCTCACTGAAAGGGAAAGACCTTATACCTCTTCCAAGAAGAGTCATGGCGCACAACCAGAAGCTTCTAGCCAAGACCCCCATCATCAAGTTCAGGCAACAGGACTTTTACTCCTTGCGGGATTATTGCCTAAACAGAGGCCTGCTGTGTGAGGATGAGACATTCCCTGCTGAGAATTATTCCATAGGTCTACAGCTGCTCAAGGGAAAAAACCTCTCCAGCCTAAGCTGGATGCGGCCAAAGGTAAGTGAACCTCCTCTCTAGGGACACGCCCAGCTCCTGGACCCTCTGACATGCTGCCTCCCATGGTGCCTCCCCGTGAAATGAGGGGCCTGAGACCTGGTTTTCAGGGCTGGCCCAACTCAAACTGGAAGGAGACTGAAGTTCATCTGGTCCCTCAGCTACAGAGTTGTATCCACAGTGGGATGGAATGACCCTGTACCAGGAAGCAGGACCCCAGTTCTAAGACAGCATGTCACTAGGTTACATGCCTCAGGATTCCCACATGAAAAATGGGAATGCATGGGTAGGAGGCTTGTAGTAGTAGCTGTGGGGTCTCTTCAATCTCCGTAAATGAGCCCCTCTGTCAGTCTTCATCATTCTTTAATCTGTCAGGTATCACTGTCTTTATCTTTTTTCTTTCCTTATTAGAATTTACTCAAAGGGAAGATAACATGTCAGTCACTTATATAATAGGATGAATTTCAGCAGTTGCCTTGCCTCTGTCGTGTATATTTGTATTTTCAATCTTGTAAAGGCTGATCACCTATGAAAGAGTTGTGAACATCAGCTGTAAAATTAGGGAGGTATTTCACGGCAATGTTCAAACCCCCCGACTCCCCCACCCCCGTAGACGACCACTAACTCCACCCTGAAGCCAGGTGAGCCCTGTTGGTTTTTTCTAGAACTATCTCAGTTTCAGGGCATGAAGCTCCAAGGGAAATTTCTCAGCCCACTAGACATTCTCATAATATCATTTTCATTGACGCAAAGGACCTGGCTAAGGGCCACTTTGAGGGCCCTGATGCTCAAACCTCCTGTTCATGCTTCCAAAAGCAGCCAGCAGAACCTAGAATAAGAGGAAAGAATCTAATGTCTAGTAAGCTGATGATTATGACTTCAGCAAGCATTACTGAATGCGACTGAAATGCCAAGCACTCTGTGCAACACACTTAATAAAGCCTGGTTAGGTTTTACAGAATAGGTATTTTCTGATGACAGAGAACAAGACGGAAACTCTAGAGGTAACAACTCTTGTCCTAACTCAGGACCAATTTGTAGCTTTGGGGAAGGGGAGGGTGAGTGGGGATCAGATGGGGCTTAGGATGCTACTTCGTTAAGATGGGGGGGCTTCAAGCTTCTAGAATCCATCTTACCATCCAGAGACCGTAAGTCCCCAACAATGACTCCCTACTTGTGGACTTCACTCCTAAGGAGAGCTGAGCAGAAAACTCTATTTAGAGCTTGGAAGGATTATATTTTTCTCCCTTTGTTATTTTCAGATGAGATTCTTTTAGAATGTTTTTTTTTTTTTCACAAGGTACTGAGCAATAGATGTGAGACCATATTTATAGTGTTAAAGAATTTATAACATTTTTATTTAGAAAACGTTGAGAGTTTTTTATTATCTAATTCCAGCAACATCTCAAACTGTGATGTCTTTTGAGGTCCCGGAGAAACTGAGGCAAACAGAAATGAAATGACTCACACAGAATCATTCCAGGAAGCCAAAACAGAGGCAGCCAGGGGCCAGACACTTTTTACTCCCGTTCTTCTTTCACCCATCCAAAGGCTCTACCAGGGGGTCATTTTTCATTCCAACATTTCTTTTATAATGTATATGTGGATATGTCATATCTCTTTGTATCCCTTATCACAACTGTCAGCACTTACGCTTGTATAGTATTTTCCAGAGCTTTCCATGTGTCTTCTCTTACTTTGTCTCATGTTCTTTCCCAGTTTTATGAGAGAATAGGTTCAGACAGGTGATGTGACTTGCACAATGTGACACAGTGAGTGAGGGAAAGAGCCAGGATTTAAACTAAAATTTCTGACTCCACATACTGTCCTATTCCTCACATAGGATTGTGTGCCCCACAGGATTCTGTTAGGATTTGGGTGAATGAATAAGTGAGTGAATGAATGATTCTGTCCACAGGCACCTGAAATGGGTTTCAAGCTCTACATGTATAATAGAGAATTCTTGAGTTGACCTGTTTTCCAAGGAAGATGGTGGAGGAGAAAGCTGATGTACTCACCCCTTAAACATGGTGATGTCCTCAACTGCCACAGCTCACAGCTGCGACTGAAAAGAGCCTTGAAGGAGAAGCTCCAGCCAGCATGGAGCAATCCTACCTGTAATGGCCAACACTTAGATAGTGCTGACCACATGGCAGGCCTGGCTTTACTTGACTCACTGAATCCTCATAATAACTCTATGAGGAGGTACTATTATTAGCCCCATTTTACAGTTGAGAAACAGAAACAGAGAATTAAGTGACCTGCCTAAAGTGTTAGAGCTGGGATTTGAGCCCTGGAGTCTGGCTCTGAGACATATTCCTAACACCACAACTGTATCGCCTCCTGTAAGCCTTCATCATAAGCTCGTGATGTATTTTAGGCTCCTGTTTGCTGCTCATAATACCTTGTGCACCAATAGAATCTCCTACTTTGTCTGGGTAACGGAATCAATCCCTGTCTATCTTCTGCCCTTCTTTCCATTTTTATAGGTGAAAAGAATGAGGATAAAAATGGTACCAGTACCTAACAAGATTATTTTAAGGAATAAATGAAGACAATACTTAGAACATTGTCTAGCACATTGTAAGCACTTACTAAACACTAGCTATTGTTACTATGACCAATTTGGGAGGGACGGCATAGAGTAGCAGCCACAGGGACCATCCTCTGGGATTTCTTGGGCTTTCACTGTCCAGTCATCTCAGCTTCAGTCTTCAGCCATTTTCAGCAAACACTTTTAAGGAGAAATGTGGGTCAGAGGAAACCATTTGGGGAGGCCAGGGTAGCCTGGCAGGGAGCGTGCGTAGTGCCTTTCTTCTCACATTTTCTTGCCTATCACTATTAGAAGGTTGCCTCCCAATCTAAAGCTTGCTCAGTGCCTAACCAGAGGCCTGACTGGCATCCCCTAAACTTCAGTTATATAATGGCTGAGGTGGCAGCAAGGCTCCTTAGGCCATGTCTGCATTCTAGGCTTTTCTAGGTAATGGGAAAGCTTCATACTCCAGGCAACTGTTAAACCATCATGGGTATCGTTCTACCTCGCGTACTCATCTAGGCTAGGCAGGTTCAACAACAGTGCAAGAGTCAGGGGCATGAAACTAGGCTCAGCTTTCTACGCCTCATGAAGAAGCAAAGTTGCTTCGCATCCCATAGTTCATGTTCTCTCTCTCTCTCTCCTTTCGCCTACCTCTTCCTTCTTCTTGTCTTCCCTCTCTCTAACAATTAACCCTAATCCATTTTGCTGCTGTAGAAGCTCCTTCTGTTGCCTCCTTCAGCTTTTCTGGGTTTGAGGAATTGGTAACCCACTCCCCACACCCTCCCCTCCCCCCACCAGCAGGCAGTCAGGTTCTGTAAATGCCTGTGACTGTGCCTGGAGCAAATGGCACTGAAAGGATCCAACTCCTCATCCTCCTCAATGTTTCCTGCAACACCAGCCTCAGCAAGAGACAATGCTGAGAATTACACCTATACCTGGAGACTCTGCGTGATATTTCCCCGAACTGAATTTGGCACTTAGAGTCACTTTCTTCTAAACATTTTATTTCATGAATAATAACAAATTCCATTTATCAAGCATGTACCTATGCTAGGTATTAATCTAAGCACTTTACGTACAACATTTCATTTAATTACCATAACAGGCCTATGAGGTAGATAATATTATTATCCTCATTCAGTAGGTCAGCACTGTCCAATAGAACTTTCTGCAGTGATGGAAATGTCCTTTCTGCCAATACAGTAGCCACTAGTCATGTGTTGGTATTGAGCAATTGAAATGGGCTAGTGTGACTGAGGTATTGCAGATTTGATTTAATTTAATTTTATTTAAATGTAAGTCGCCAATATGGCTTGTGGCTACCATATTGGAAGACACAGAATTGTAGACGTAGATCTTCACAGCAGAGTTGCCACTGCGTCAGACGGAGGAATTGAAATTTCATCTTTGTCCCCATTCTTTAGTGAAAAACATGTTCATTTCTCAACTGAAGAATGGGCTGGGGGCCCAAAACATGTTCAGGACTCAGCACCCAGCCCCACTGTGGATTTTGGCCTGTGGCCATCCCAGAATGAAGTGTTGCCTACCCAGACACCGACGTTCATCTTCCAAGTAGCCAGAGCAGAGTTTCCGAAAGGATCACTTACTATAAATGATTCACCTTGGTTTCAGCATGAGTTATTCCGGAAAGGAAGGGGTTAACAAAGTGGCGCTCTGAACATAGGCTGTGAAGGCAACAGGTAGCAGAAGGCGACAGAAAGAGAGCACGCCAACAGCCAATTGCCACAGAGCCAAAGAACTCTGATTCCAATAAAGCAGAGTTCTCTAGCAAAAATAGAAAAGGGAGTGACGCTGCCACCTGGCGCAGCCTGAATTGTGGCCACTGGCTGAAAGGGCCTGTGTCTGAAGACCAACACGCTAAACCGGATGTTTCCTCATCCAAGAGCAGCACACCATCTCGGGGAGGGCATGAGGAGCCCTTGACAAGAACACAGGAATCGCTTAGGAAGTGATGCTGTGTTAGAAGGGACACCTCCAGAGACAACTGCAGGGGAGTGCCTTGTTTGGTACCACTTCAGGTATGGGTTATGGGTGTGGATGCAGAGGGGAAGAGGGAGGAGGAGAGGGGAGAGGTCGAGACTCCTACAGGACATAACCAACAGGAGCTATATAGATATATCCTATTGATTCATTTATTATGAGGAATTGGCACACATAATTATGGAGGCTGAGGCGTCCCAAGGTCTGCTATCTGCAAGCTGGAGACCCAGGGAAGCTGATGGTGTAGTTTAGTCCGAGTGGGAAGGCCTGAGGACCAGGGGGGCTGATGATGTAATTCCCAGTCCCAGGACAGGAGAAGACCAATGTCCCAGCTCAGCAGTCAGGCTGAGAAGGGGTGAATTCTCCCTTCCTCTACGTTTTGTTCTATTCAAGCCCTCAATACATTGGATGATGTCCATCCATATTGGGGAGGGCAATCTTGTTTACTGAGTCCACTGATTCAAAT